AAATTTTGAATTAGTTTCATATCGATAGTTTGGTAAAAAAGGTTTGTATGTATACATATATATATTTGAACCATTTTTCAATTACTCGTATTTTTTCAGTACAATCCAACATCTTTTAGGAAATTTACAATCTTGGATGGTTTTATTTTCGTAAAAAATTTTAAATTACTCACTTGGTAATATTTCGTTTGCACGAGATCAAAATCTATTGTTAGTAATATTTTTTTTTCTCCAAAAGTCGATTTCTGGTAATATATTTTCCTTCAAAAATCTATTTCTGTTAAGAATTTTCTTTCAAAGGTAAACATTTGTTTTTCAAAAATGTATTGTTTGTAATAATTTTTTTTAACACAGTATTTCTGGTGTTAATACATATTTTTACACTTTCATAGTGCTTTGAGTTTGTGGATTAATTATTTGCCCATAGCTCGGACCCTAATAGGTGCTACTACACTGGGTCAGGGTGGACCTGGAGATGTCACCAATTAAGAGGTGGTTCCACGCTCCTCAAAATCTCCTGATCAGAATCCTTGCTGTTGGATGGAGTTTATCATCTTACCCAGGTTGCGGATGTAGTTTATCGTCTTACCCAGGACGTAAAATAAAAAGTGATAAAATAAATAATACAATAAGTAACATACATTAAACATATTGAACAATATATGTATGGTCTTTCCTTCATATACCGTCTTCTTGGCATTTTATTCGATTATTACGAATTATATTGTCGTTGGTAAATGTGCAATCATCACGAAATTATATGTATGAAAATGAATAAAATCATGTATATGTGCACATATACGTATAGGTTAGTATTTAGAATAATAAATGTAAACACACACACACATACATACATACATATATAAATATAAAAGTGAACATAGAAGTCAACACTTAGAGGCGACAGTCTGTTTCATGCTATATGCAATCATCAGGCCACATATGTTGAAAAAATAACAGCATATGTGGCCTGACGATTCAAATTAGCATTGAAACAGATCTCTATCTCTGATATTGAGCACTTTATTCCATAAATATAGCATACCTTAAGACTATATTTCTTTACATACACACACACACACATATATATATATATATATATATATATATATATATATATATATATATATATATATATTATATCTATATTTCTCAAAATGTGCGTGTGTATGTATGTGTGTATCTATTTGATTCCAAATTTTTCTTCATTCTGTCGGATCTATATCCATTTACATTTGCTTACATATATATATATATATATATATATATATATATATATATATATATATATATATATATACTACCAGTATAACCCGTCTTTGACCGGGTCTTTCATTACTAAATTTTTGGCCTTCAGTTGGAGCAGTTTAAGCTTAAAGTCAGCCTATCCGAAAATCAATATTAGTACCAACATTTGGGTGCAACTGGGGAACATCCCCAAATGAGGGGGGGTAACAATTTGAATGGGAGGCCCTGAAAAGGGAACTCTATAATAATTAATAATATTATTGTAATAATTTAAAGTATTTATTTTTATTAAAGTTTTTATGAAAGATATATATCTAAGAACAGATAGTAAATAGTAAAACATTGCTGAGAGGACAGGAAATAGTGGAGAGCCATTGTCACCAAAAATTTGGACTCAAAATCGGCACTGAAGAATTATCTATCAAACAAAAAAAATGTCAAAATCGGATGAAAACTGTGGAAATACATAAACAATATCCGATCACAGATACACACATACATACACACGCATTTTGAGAAATATATATATATATATATATATGTGTGTGTGTGTGTGTGTGTATATATATATCATATTAAATTTTTTTATATATATATATATATATATATATATATATATATATATCATATTATTTAATATTTTATATATTTGTTAAAGAAGAATGCCTAATAACGAAGATTGAGCATATGTTAATATAAAAATGATGGACATGGTTATAAAATATCTTGAAATACAAAAGAGTAAATTATTCAATAAACTCGCCATTGCCTGCAACCACGGTATGTATATTTCGCAATCTCCTGCGACCATTTTGGACGGTCTCCTTGTTTAAGTTGGTGAATGCTACCATAATTCTTGCCTTCAGTTCATCTTTGTTGATAAAAGGAGTTTTCCTGGTCTCTCGCACAACTGCACCCCACACATAATAATCAAGGGCGTTGCATTCTGGGTAGTTCGATGGCCAGATGCAAGGGGAGATATGGTATCAGAAATTGTCTGAGAGCCATGACTAGGTTCTCCTGCTTGTGTGGCATGGCGCAGAGTCCTGTTGCCAGACATAGGGTCTTCCAGAAGCACATCCAGCCCCATGGCCCAGGGCAGCACTACCTCCTCAAGGCACTCGATGAAGTAGTTTTTTTTTTTTTTTTTTTTTTGAGAGTGTGTTTTTTTCGAGCTGCCGTACTTTCGTAATCACCGTTAGACTCATCCAAATCTTTCTGATTCCTCTACACTCTACTCAGATTGACACCCAAACACGCTTAAATGCCAATGCCAAGCAGTACGGCTTGCCGTTTTCAAAATTCTGATGGAGTGAATTGTGTCATGTGCTATTTTTCTCACAGACGGTGCCCAACTGACCCTACTATCAAAAACAAAACAAAAAATAAGCAGGCAGGCGCGAAATTAAAAATATAAAATGACATTTTACCCATCGTACGTCTGTATGTAAAATGAATAACAGATTTCGGTCTTATTATCAGAGACATATATCGACATAGATCGCTTATGGATAGGATTCCGATAAAATGATAGGATGAAGAACAAGTAGGAAACAGATCTTAATCTAACATGTTTCGCTTTAATTAAAGCTTCGTCAGAGATCAAGATAGAAATGATAAAAATGATAAAAAGAGACGTGGATCAATTGCATGTTTTGATTGGTTATTTCTTATTGGTTAGATACGTGTCACGTGTAATGAAGTAACAGATAATATTCAAATATGTGTGAGAAACATTCTGGATTCTAGAGTGTATAAAAGTTTGTGTGACGGAGCAGAATGTTTTGAAAATTGTTCTTTTGTTTTGATTTTTCATTAAAGCATTTCTCATGCGTATTTTGTATATATCTTCATTGATTGATATGTATTGGGAAAAATAACTTACATCCATGAAGAATGGATATGTAGAAAAATGGTGACGTAATGTAGTTTTTTAAACGTATATTAATTGTTGTTAGTATTGCTATAAATATGTTTTCATATTTCTCTTGAAATGGTTTATGTTCCTTTTTTTAATAAGGCTGGCAATAGTGAAATTAAAGTTATGCCCTACACTATTGACGAGAGAATTTGAATGTTTATCTAATCGCAAGTCTCTTTTGAGTTCCCATAGTTTTATATCGCGTGATATCTCCCCAATGTACATGCTATTGCATTATATATATATATATATATATATATATATATATATATATATATATATATATATAAGGGTTGGACAAAATAATTGGAACACTTGTTATATTCAAAGAAAATTTATTTAATATGGAGTTGGTCGTCCTTTAACCTCACAGACAGCTTTAATATGTCTAGGAATTGAATCATACAGCTTCTTGACTTCAGTCATTCTTCCATTAAAACTTTCTCCAGCTCTTTACGAAACGACGGTGGAGGATAGCGGCTCCTAACTTGTTGCTCCAAAATGCACCACAAATGTTCAATAATATTGATATCTTGAGATTGGGGAGGCCACACCATGTGTTCTAGCTCACTTTCATGCTCTTCATACCACTCGAGCGGTATGTATTGGAGCATTATCGTCTTGGAAGATGCAGTCACCATCAGGGAATAAAGTCTTGGCGATTGGATGAACATGATCTCCCAAAATGTTCAGGTAATCTTTGCTGTTGATTCTACCATGCAGGGCAACCATTGGATTGAGACATTTCCATGATATGGCGGCCCAAACTATCAGTGATCCACTTCCATGCTTCACTGTTGGAAGAAGGCAGTCAGGGTTGTAAGCTTCTTTGGGCTGCCTCCACACATAAACTCGCCCTGAAGTTGGGAAAAAGAGAAAAACTGGACTTGTTTGAGAATATGACTTGCTTCCATTGGTCTGCAGACCAGACATTGTGAACTCTGCGCCACTTCAACCTCTTTTGAATGTTGCGAGTGGAGAGAAGAGGTTTCCTCACAGGGGCTCTTCCATGATATGCAGCCTTATGGAGCTCACAGTGAACAGTTTTAGAAGAAACTGAACTATTCAGATGGTTATTCAACTCAGCAGTCACTTTGGCCGCATTTGGCCGATGATTTTTTGCCACATTGCGTTTCAGTGCACGTCAGTCCCTGCCAGTAAGTTTGCAAGTCCGACCCGAATTGCTACGGTTGCTAGAGGTCTTGCCCTGTTTCTCGAATTGCATTAGTATTCTTGTTATGGTAGCTCTTGAAAAACCAAACAGTTCAGCAACCTTAGTGATTGAGGTTCCTGCCATGCGATCTCCAACAATTTGCTCTTTTTCAAACTCGGAGAGGTCACGCATTTAGCTTAAATTTTACTAAATTCTAAAAATAAATAAGACAAAGACAGTAAATTAGATAAATAAACGTATTTACAATAGATATAACCTGCAATTAAGAAGTTTTAGTTAAAGTTCTTAATATAATAAGTCTTTAAAATATAGGAGTGGATTTTGCAACTGTTCTAATTATTTTGTCCAACCCTTATATATATATATATATATATATATATATATATATATATATATATATATATATATATATATATATATATATATATATATATATATATAATATATATATGAATATATATGCCGCCTGAAAACAGTATTTTTAAACATAACCACTTTTCTTGACAATGCACTTAATTCGATGCTGGATTTTAATTTTATATATCAAATATTGTATATGAAACAGAACGTTAAAGTCCTTTTTTATTTTTTGCATTTTTCTTTTTTTTTAAACGAACTCACTGGCCCGGCTGAGATCTTTTCCACCCAACGTCGTCGATGTCATTGTCTACAGATGCAACGGTATGGTGAATAATTAAATACTAATCATCATACTGAATACAATCGTAGAGGTCTGGGGATCTAGCCCGCCCGCCATTATTCCGTGCTAAGGCACCTATAGGTATTTCGTAAATTTATCTGAATATGGAACCAGAGGAAGATCAACAATTGTGCATGGGACACATAATAAAGGTCAAACTTAAAACTGCTTTACTACCATTTACGAGGTCCACGGTCCTGGAGGAAAACAACGACTTGAATCGAAAATAGTTAAATAAATTGAATAAACACACATATAGTGCCGATAATTACAGTAATAAAGAATAATTTTTTTAAAAATTACGAACAATTAATAATTTAAATAAGATAACCTTGCATTTTAACTGTTAGACCCGTGTTCAATAAGCAATTATATTCAACTTAATTACAATTAATAAAGTAATAATTATAGTTCATTTATGGTGCTCCGATTGTTCTATGTGGAGTTGAGAGTATTTCACAAAATATTGTGACGAGATTGCGCCATTATTTTAATTAATTAGGTTTATTTCATTTGACCAAATGTTTTATTCGTTGTCTACTTCCAGAACAGTGTGCCCGGTAAACGGTAGTCAAGCCCTTAAAATTATCGAAGAGGGTGTTCGTTCCTAAATATTTGCTCCTTAATTGCAGTTTTGTACAAAAGAATAAGATTAGCTTAGTAAATTAGTCATTACAATAGTCAAATTCAGCTAAATCCTACTCAACAGTGAAATAACCAAAGGACGCGTGTCTGAAGCACTCAGTCAGGCTTCATCACTGTATCGTTGTAACAGTCTGCGAGTGAAGCGTATTCATCAATTGACAATATTCAGTCACCCCCCCCCCCACGAGGGTGTCATGTGGCACAAGGCCTTTTTAACGTGGGCATTCCCGAGCCATTAGGCTCGGCCAAAAAATAGCCCATTAAACCCGTATAAACGGGTCCAGGGCCGGTTTAACCTCCCCGAAGGAGACTCCGCCCTTCGGCGTAGCCTCCTCCGGGTTCCTCCCGCCCGTAGGAAGAGAGTTTAACCGAACAGTCGCTCAGAAAGTGAGAGACTGACTGACTATTCATCAATTGACTGCATTGGAGTGAGGACTAAAAACTTATATAGATGCCTCTTCTTCCCTACAGACAATCAAATAACCATACACACACACAGACACACAGACACACACACACACAAACACATGTGTGGGTGCTATGTTCGCGCATGCTCAACTGGCCCAACAAAACAAGGCTACTTATAAAAATATTCGTCCGCAGATGAATTATGTTGCTCTTGACTTTTTCATTGACCAAACGACATCGCATATTTTATGTTGTTCTCTTCTGTTAAACTTGCCATTGTTTTGTTCTGTATTTATTATTTGGGGTGTGTAGAGGTGTCAACATTTTTTTTCTTTTTCAGCCAATTAACTGTTTTCTGCAGTGCTTCTTTCTTTCTTTCTTTCTTTCTTTTTTTCTTTCTTTCTTTCTTTCTTTTTCTTCCTGTCTTACTTTCGTTCTTTCTGTCTTTTTCTTCCTTGCTGTCTTTCTCTCTTTCTTTCTTTTTCTTCCAGCCTTTCTTTCTTTTTCTTCCTGTCTTACTTTCGTTCTTTCTGTCTTTTTCTTCCTTGCTGTCTTTCTCTCTTTCTTTTTCTTCCAGCCTGTCTTTCTTCTTCTTCCTGTCTTACTTTCGTTCTTTCTGTCTTTTTCTTCCTTGCTGTCTTTCTCTCTTTCTTTCTTTTCTTCCAGCCTTTCTTTTTTTTCTTCCTCCTGTCTTACTTTCGTTCTTTCTGTCTTTTTTCTTCCTTGCTGTCTCTCTTTCTTTCTTTTTTCTTCCAGCCTTTCTTTCTTTTTTTTTCTTCCTGTCTTACTTTCGTTCTTTCTGTCTTTTTCTTCCTTGCTGTCTCTCTTTCTTTCTTTTTCTTCCAGCCTGTCTTTCTTCTTCTTCCTGTCTTACTTTCGTTCTTTCTGTCTTTTTCTTCCTTGCTGTCTCTCTTTCTTTCTTTTTCTTCCAGCCTTTCTTTCTTTTTCTTCCTGTCTTACTTTCGTTCTTTCTGTCTTTTTCTTCCTTGCTGTCTTTCTGTCTTTCTTTCTTTTTCTTCCAGCCTGTCTTTCTTCTTCTTCCTGTCTTACTTTCGTTCTTTTTCTGTCTTTTCTTCCTTGCTGTCTCTCTTTCTTTCTTTTTCCCAGCCTGTCTTTCTTCTTCTTCCTGTCTTACTTTCGTTCTTTCTGTCTTTTTCTTCCTTGCTGTCTCTCTTTCTTTCTTTTTCTTCCAGCCTTTCTTTCTTTTTCTTCCTGTCTTACTTTCGTTCTTTCTGCCTTTTTTCTTCCTTGCTGTCTTTCTCTCTTTCTTTCTTTTTCTTCCAGTCTTTCTTTCTTTTTCTTCCTGTTTTACTTTCGTTCTTTCTGTCTTTTTCTTCCTTGCTGTCTCTCTTTCTTTCTTTTTCTTCCAGCCTTTCTTTCTTTTTCTTCCTGTCTTACTTTCGTTCTTTCTGTCTTTTTCTTCCTTGCTGTCATTCTCTCTTTCTTTCTTTTTCCTCCAGCCTTTCTTTCTTTTTCTTCCTGTCTTACTTTCGTTCTTTCTGTCTTTTTCTTCCTTGCTGTCTTTCTCTATTTCTTTCTTTTTCCTCCTGCCTTTCTTTCTTTTTCTTCCTGTCTTACTTTCGTTCTTTCTGTCTTTTTCTTCCTTGCTGTCTTTCTCTCTTTCTTTCTTTTTCTTCCAGCCTTTCTTTCTTTTTCTTCCTGTCTTACTTTCGTTCTTTCTGTCTTTTTCTTCCTGGCTGTCTTTCTCTCTTTCTTTCTTTTTCTTCCAGCCTTTCTTTCTTTTTCTTCCTGTCTTACTTTCGTTCTTTCTGTCTTTTTCTTCCTTGCTGTCTCTCTTTCTTTCTTTTTCTTCCAGCCTTTCTTTCTTTTTCTTCCTGTCTTACTTTCGTTCTTTCTGTCTTTTTCTTCCTTGCTGTCTTTCTGTCTTTCTTTCTTTTTCTTCCAGCCTTTCTTTCTTTTTCTTCCTGTCTTACTTTCGTTCTTTCTGTCTTTTTCTTCCTTGCTGTCTTTCTGTCTTTCTTTCTTTTTCTTCCAGCCTGTCTTTCTTCTTCTTCCTGTCTTACTTTCGTTCTTTCTGTCTTTTTCTTCCTTGCTGTCTCTCTTTCTTTCTTTTTCTCCCAGCCTGTCTTTCTTCTTCTTCCTGTCTTACTTTCGTTCTTTCTGTCTTTTTCTTCCTTGCTGTCTTTCTCTCTTTCTTTCTTTTTCTTCCACCCTGTCTTTCTTTTTCTTCCTGTCTTACTTACGTTCTTTCTGTCTTTTTCTTCCTTGCTGTCTCTCTTTCTTTCTTTTTCTTCCAGCCTGTCTTTCTTCTTCTTCCTGTCTTACTTTCGTTCTTTCTGTCTTTTTCTTCCTTGCTGTCTTTCTCTCTTTCTTTCTTTTTCCTCCAGCCATTCTTTCTTTTTCTTCCTGTCTTACTTTCGTTCTTTCTGTCTTTTTCTTCCTTGCTGTCTTTCTCTCTTTCTTTCTTTTTCTTCCAGCCTTTCTTTCTTTTTCTTCCTGTCTTACTTTCGGTCTTTCTGTCTTTTTCTTCCTTGCTGTCTTTCTCTCTTTCTTTCTTTTTCTTCCAGCCTTTCTTTCTTTTTCTTCCTGTCTTACTTTCGTTCTTTCTGTCTTTTTCTTCCTTGCTGTCTTTCTCTCTTTCTTTCTTTTTCCTCCTGCCTTTCTTTCTTTTTCTTCCTGCCTTACTTTCGTTCTTTCTGTCTTTTTCTTCCTTGCTGTCATTCTCTCTTTCTTTCTTTTTCCTCCAGCCTTTCTTTCTTTTTCTTCCTGTCTTACTTTCGTTCTTTCTGTCTTTTTCTTCCTTGCTGTCTTTCTCTATTTCTTTTCTTTTTTTCCTCCTGCCTTTCTTTCTTTTTCTTCCTGTCTTAATTTCGTTCTTTCTTTTTTCTTCCTTGCTGTCATTCTCTCTTTCTTTCTTTTTCCTCCAGCCTTTCTTTCTTTTCTTCCTGTCTTACTTTTCGTTCTTTCTGTCTTTTTCTTCCTTGCTGTCTTTCTCTCTTTCTTTCTTTTTCCTCCAGCCTTTCTTTCTTTTTCTTCCTGCCTTACTTTCGTTCTTTCTGTCTTTTTCTTCCTTGCTGTCTTTCTCTCTTAGTTTCTTTTTCTTCCAGCCTTTCTTTCTTTTTCTTCCTGCCTTACTTTCGTTCTTTCTGTCTTTTTCTTCCTTGCTGTCTTTCTCACTTTCTTTCTTTTTCCTCCAGCCTTTCTTTCTTTTTCTTCCTGTCTTACTTTCGTTCTTTCTGTCTTTTTTCTTCCTTGCTGTCTTTCTCTATTTCTTTCTTTTTCCTCCTGCCTTTCTTTCTTTTTCTTCCTGTCTTACTTTCGTTCTTTCTGTCTTTTTCTTCCTTGCTGTCTTTCTCACTTTCTTTCTTTTTCCTCCAGCCTTTCTTTCTTTTTCTTCCTGTCTTACTTTCGTTCTTTCTGTCTTTTTCTTCCTTGCTGTCTTTCTCTATTTCTTTCTTTTTCCTCCTGCCTTTCTTTCTTTTTCTTCCTGTCTTACTTTCGTTCTTTCTGTCTTTTTCTTCCTTGCTGTCTTTCTCTCTTTCTTTCTTTTTCTTCCAGCATTTCTTTCTTTTTCTTCCTGTCTTACTTTCGTTCTTTCTGTCTTTTTCTTCCTTGCTGTCTTTCTCTCTTTCTTTCTTTTTCCTCCAGCCTTTCTTTCTTTTTCTTCCTGCCTTACTTTCGTTCTTTCTGTCTTTTTCTTCCTTGCTGTCTTTCTCTCTTAGTTTCTTTTTTCTTCCAGCCTTTCTTTCTTTTTTTCTTCCTGCCTTACTTTCGTTCTTTCTGTCTTTTCTTCCTTGCTGTCTTTCTCACTTTCTTTCTTTTTTCCTCCAGCCTTTCTTTCTTTTTTCTTCCTGTCTTACTTTCGTTCTTTCTGTCTTTTTCTTCCTTGCTGTCTTTCTGTCTTTCTTTCTTTTTTCCTCAGCCTTTCTTTCTTTTTCTTCCTGTCTTACTTTCGTTCTTTCTGTCTTTTTCTTCCTTGCTGTCTTTCTCTCTTTCTTTCTTTTTCCTCCAGCCTTTCTTTCTTTTTCTTCCTGTCTTACTTTCGTTCTTTCTGTCTTTTTCTTCCTTGCTGTCTTTCTCTCTTTCTTTCTTTTTCTTCCAGCCTTTCTTTCTTCTTCTTCCTGTCTTACTTTCGTTCTTTCTGTCTTTTTCTTCCTTGCTGTCTTTCTCTATTTCTTTCTTTTTCCTCCTGCCTTTCTTTCTTTTTCTTCCTGTCTTACTTTCGTTCTTTCTGTCTTTTTCTTCCTTGCTGTCTTTCTTTCTTTCTTTCTTTTTCTTCCAGCATTTCTTTCTTTTTCTTCCTGTCTTACTTTCGTTCTTTCTGTCTTTTTCTTCCTTGCTGTCTTTCTCTCTTTCTTTCTTTTTTTCTCCAGCCTTTCTTTCTTTTCTTCCTGCCTTACTTTCGTTCTTTCTGTCTTTTTTCTTCCTTGCTGTCTTTCTCTCTTAGTTTCTTTTTCTTCCAGCCTTTCTTTCTTTTTCTTCCTGCCTTACTTTCGTTCTTTCTGTCTTTTTCTTCCTTGCTGTCTTTCTCACTTTCTTTCTTTTTCCTCCAGCCTTTCTTTCTTTTTCTTCCTGTCTTACTTTCGTTCTTTCTGTCTTTTTCTTCCTTGCTGTCTTTCTGTCTTTCTTTCTTTTTCCTCCAGCCTTTCTTTCTTTTTCTTCCTGTCTTACTTTCGTTCTTTCTGTCTTTTTTCTTCCTTGCTGTCTTTCTCTCTTTCTTTTCTTTTTCCTCCAGCCTTTCTTTCTTTTCTTCCTGTCTTACTTTCGTTCTTTCTGTCTTTTTCTTCCTTGCTGTCTTTCTCTATTTCTTTCTTTTTCTTCCAGCCTTTCTTTCTTCTTCTTCCTGTCTTACTTTCGTTCTTTCTGTCTTTTTCTTCCTTGCTGTCTTTCTCTCATTCTTTTCTTCTTCTTTATTTTCTTTCTTTATCTTCATTCCTTTCTTTTTCCTCCTTTCTATCTGTCTTTCTTTTTTTATTTTCTTCATTTTATTTTCTTCTTTTTTCCTTCCTTTCATTCTCTCTTTTCCTTCCTTTCTTTTTTTCCTTCCGCATTATTGATTTCCGTATGTTTCTATTAATATTCATGTCTTCTTGTTTCTTCTATATTTTTATTTGAAAATCGTATTTGATTTAATTTTAATTATTGTCATTGAATATAATTTTGACATTTTCCCTTCATTCTGCCCACCTTTCCTATTCATGAACTTCCTTTCTTATTTCTGCCAGTTACACTAAATTCCTCATTACTTTTTCATTATATTTTTTCTCTTTTCTTTCATGCCATCTTCTCGTTCTCTTCTCTCTTTTTCTTTCTTTATTTTTTCTTTCTTTATTTTCCTTCCATTATTTGTTTCTTTTCCTTTCTTTCTTTTTCTTTCTTTCTTTCTTTCTCAATTTTTTCTTTCTTTCTTTATTTTTCTTCCGTTATTTGTTTCTTTTCCTTTCTTTCTTTCTTTCTTTTTCTTTCTTTCTTTCTTTCTTTATTTATTTCTTTTGCTTTCTTTATTTGTTTCTTTTCCTTCCTTCCTTCCTTCCTTCCTTCCTTCCTTTGCTTCTTTGCTTTTTTCTTTCTTTTCCTTTCTTTCTTTCTTTCTTTCTTTGTTTACTTGTTTCTTTCCTTTCATTTCTTTCTTCCTCCTTTTCTTTCTTTCTTTTCCTTTCTTAAATTCTCTTCCTTTCTTTCTTTCTTTTT